GATGTGAGTATCAGTCACATGGAGGCAGTGCTTAAAAGCCTGAATTTTGCCTGAAACTCTCAGAATGAAGAAGTCTCTTGGAGGAGAGACGAAACATTTCATTAGAGAAGAACCCGTCCAGAAGACCTACACAATTTTTTTCTTTTTGATTTTTTACCTGGATTACTGAGATGCATCAGGATATTTGAATAAAAAGTTTCTACTGGCTAATGAAATATTTTTTCTAACAGCACAGACAAACAAATTACACGCATTGACACACAAGTAAAATCACCATCAACCTTATGTCTTTTGTGGCAAATGCAAAGTAAAATGTTTGTGTTTTTGACACTTCTGTGTTTTTCAAAATGGCTTCACATTGTGCATCTTAGTCCACTGTGTGTGTGGGTGTGTGTGAGTATATTTCTTGTCATGTCACTGTGACTCTGCATCCTGTCATGTGACTTCCTGAGATCTGTCGAATTCAGCCTCAGTGTGGACAGATGTGAGATCTGCTCCACCTGCAGTGAAATGAGGCTCACCAAACGAATGGAAACTGATTGGGCTCACTGACGTCTTCATCTGCATGATGCCTCCAGTGATGTGTGAAGTAGAAAACTTGGGTGCAAAATGAGGAAGTAACCTCACTTTTCAAGACCTAAAGTGACAGTTAAAGTTGTGAAGTTAGTGACATGTTAATAACCAACAAAGTTTGCTTTATTTAAGAGGAAGTGTATGGGGCAAAATGGAGGACAAGAAAAATGTGAACTTCACGAGGCTCATGTCAGGTAAAAGACAACAAAACTTACTTTAATGGTATTTAAGTTTGATTGAGCAAGACTTCCTCTTGCATTTTAAACACCACTTGTATTTCTTCCTGAACGTATGTGGAATGACCTGAAGTATTCATAATTTAACTATGACATAAACAAGGATTCGTGTGTTTCTCTCTGATAAGTCTGTGTCTAACATGGTACAGATAAACATATGGTGAAAAAGAAAGTAGACTGCGTTTCAGTTTTAAGGTTTTATGTATCAAGACATAATTTACAGTGTTCTGGTTTTTATCAGTAGTTGAATTAATGCAACTTTAACTTTAGCTGAGCAATGATGATTGTTCATTGAAAACTAAACCAAAATGCACAAGCATTGAAAACCCAAAGTTAGTCCATATTTCAGTTTTAGTTAAAATGAATACTTTTCTACACATTTTTAATCTGTCTGTTTCATAACTGCAGAGGAGTTTAAGTTGATGCTTCAGTTTGTGATTATTTTTGCAACTGTTTTACACAAAATTCCAGTTATCCTGACGTACTAGATTTTGACTGGGTCGTTGCATCATCTTGACTTTTTTTTCATGTGTTGTAGGGCTGCAAAGATTAATCGATAAATCGACGACTAATCAATTATTAAAATAATCTATGACTAATTTATTAATCGATTAATCGTTTTC